TCATTTAATTTTATGTCTTATAGGGTTTATACTGAGTTCAATATTGTATAACTGTATTAATTCAACTCTGAACCTAAAAATTTACAGCCAATTTTGAAAAAGATGCATCATTGCTCTGGAAATTGTTATTGAATACATTAAAGCTGTAATGAAATGCTTCTTCTAATTATGTGGTTATTAAATAAATAATTTTTTAAAACCATTTTAATAATATCATACATTCAGTTGCCTTGGAACTAGGTGTCATTATTAGTCATGTTTATGGTTTATATCCTCATTTCTTTTTCTTATCTGTAGGTTTATATTTGTGTTTCTTTGTTATGTTGTCATAATTCAGCTCAGATCTTGTTAGAAACTCTTAAGACAGAAACCAAACAGCTCATCAAATAGAAATAAACCGATTGGTATAAAAAATATAGTGGAATTTTATAGGGGGTTAAGACACAGGGGATTAAGAATTTTCTTAACTCTTTAAGTAAAGCAGGGATCTGCCAGATGTGGTGGTGCACACCTTTAACTCCAGCACTCTGGAGACAGAAACAGATGGATTTCTGTGAGTTCAGAACATACTGGAAGGTATAAAAAGGCCGTTTTGGGACTGGAGAGATGGCTCAGCAGTTAAGAGCACTGGCTGTTCTTGCAGAGGAACCGGGTTTGATTCCCAGCATCCACATTGCAGCTAGCAACCATCCTTCACTCCAGTTCCAAAGGAATCTGACACTCTTTTCTGAGCTCTGTGAGTCTTATGCTTACAAACACGCAGACAATCCACTCATACAAATAAAATAATAATAATTGTTTTTAAAGGCTGTTATCGCTGAAGAATAGGAACTGAGATGAGAGTGCTCTCAGACAGTCTGGAAAGGACACAGTAATGACCGGTGAATGTCTGTATGGGCAGCATAGTGTTATTCTTGTTCTTAATGTTAACGCCCTTTGGTGGAGCATGCTACAGTTTTATCAGCCTGACGTCCTAAGCTGGACTCAGACTCTCTCTCAGACTGGCTCTGCAGAAAATGTGCATTTTCAACTCCAAGTGAAGAATGCTAGGGGTTTGAGTTTCACTTCAAGGATGATGGGAAGACTTGAGAGGTTCTAAGCTGGGGGAGGTGAATGTGAGTTGTTGATATGATTCATGTATTTAAAGTTCATTGTGTACAGATAACAGAGCCCCAGAGATGCAAGATACCAATAGGAAACAAAAGAGTTTCTTCAGAAGGGAGGCAGGATGAGGCTGCCTGTATTCATTAGTCTGGAGATGAGCGAAGTCAGCACACTCATTACTGCTCCATCCAACCTTTCTTGTGGAAACCATTTACATTACAATCTGCTGTTTTCGCCAAATGCAGAGCCACCATCCCTAGATATCTGTAAGTCAAAGTCAGATGATGCTCAGTGATCTGGAAAAGATTCTGAAATGGAACTATTTTCACAGCAGTGTTGAGAGGTTTTCTTTGCTGAGGTGGCCATAGCAAAATGCCAGGGACTAGGCAGCTTGAACAATAGTAATTAATTTCTCACTGTTCTGTGGGCTGTGAAATCCATGCCTGCCAGTGTAGATTCTGGCAAGGGCTCTCTTCCTGACTTGCAGATGGTGCCTCTGGCTGTAGCTTCAAGTGCTTCGAAGTTTCTAAGACATCCTATGGGGTCAGGATGTGCCCTTATCATCACTTTAACCTTAATTACTTGCTTACTCAATACACCCACGCAGTGGATTAGTGCTTCCAAAATACAAACTTTGGGGAAGGCATGATGGCATCATTCAGTTCCAGGTTAGTTGTTTTTGTGCCCTTTGCCCCAAGTACTGGGGATGGAACACAAGGGCATCACTAGCCCTCTACCACTGGGCTGTATCCCTAGCCCTTGTTCTTAGTATTTTCACCCTTATCCTCTCAAAAATGTAGTCAAGTCTCATCCTCCCTTCTCTACATAACAGTTGACAGCAATAAAGTGAACTGAGGTCTGGGACAGGCACAACTTCCATCAACCAAACATTAAAATGACGCATGAACGCATGAGTGATAACCAGTCCTTTAAGAATGCTTTTGTTATCCTGAAAATCTAGTTGTTTTCTAAGAAAAATTATGTTGATATTGTTTTGTGTGTGAGGTCCTGGGAATTGAACCTAGAGCTCCACGCGCTATGCGTGCACTTTATCACTGAGCTGTATTTTCAGCCTACGTTCTTTCTTGGCAATGAATTAAATTTTAGAATTTTGAATACGGTGGATACAGACATATAATCTTTGGGGTCCTCGCTTATTTCATGGGATGAAGGGGACCTTAAGAAGTAAACATCTGAGGATGGCTGTTGAACTACCTGGGTCCTCGCTCCCTGTCTCCACAGGACCCTCGGACTCTGGGAATGCAGCCCTTCGTTTCCTTTCGCAAGCTATCTCCATCTTCTGCACCTGCGCATCCCACATCTCCGCACTCCAGCCTAGAGCATCCCCAGCTCTCTGACATCCCAGCCATTCGGGATCTCGGTGGGCATTACCAGCCGATCGCCACCAGCATCCGAGCCGCCCGTTCCTGCCCAGTGCCCTCGGCCAACTGCCGCCGCCTACCCGCTAGGCATGCCGTGGTGTCCATCCACTTGAGCAGCTGCCCCGCGCTCAGCTCGCCGCGGGAATCGGCATGAGCAGGCTGGACAGCCTGGCTCATGAGCACCTTGGAAGCCGCCGGCTGCTCCATGTCCCGGCAGAGAAGTCGCAGCAGAGCCGGCGGGGGCTCTTGGTTATCCGCTTTCTCCCGAGGCCCGCCCCCGCTCCAAAGGGCGCTGCCTGCCCCAGCCGCCTGCAGCCAGGTGCTCCGGAGGTGAGAGGTCAGGGTCCCCGCGTGTCACCCCGGGACTGCAGCAAGGAGGGTGAAGGAGCGCGCAGAGGAACTGGGGGCCTCTCCTGGTGCAGAACAGGAGTGCTGTTCGGCATCCAAGAAAGTGAAGCTGCCTTAAGGTGTAGGGAGGCAGTAGGTCTACAAATATTTTCCAGAACAAAGAAGTACAGCCATCATTAGCTGAAGACTTCGACAAACACGGGAGCCCTGAGAAGGGACCGTGTCCTCTCCAGAGTGCAGAACCTTTGCTGTGGAAACACTTCAGAGCTCGACTTCTGTGTTTTGTTGGTCGGGTGATTTGGTTGTTGGCACTTTGACTTTTTTCCCCTGCCTGCTGGGCATTGCAGATACTCACCGATCAGGCCCTAGTTCAAAATCTTAGGACATTCCAGAGGCTCCAAAGATCATTTTGTTTCGAAATTGCCAAACAAACAAAAAACAAAGGGTGAATGGAGGGCTGCGAGTGTAGGTGCATCAGAGCCACCCAACAAGTAGAAGGTAACGTTTTTTTTTTTGGTCTTTTTGGGACAGGGTCTCCGTGTAGCCCCAGCTGTCTTGGAACTCACTATGTAGACCAGGCTGGCCTTGAACTCACAGAGATCTGCCTGCCTCTCGAGTGCTGGGATTAAAGGCGTGCGCCACCACTCCCAGCTGAGTTTTATCTAAAGAATTTAAGATCAGGAACTGCCACGTTGTTACCAATGGTCCACACAAATCCCCAAAGACACCGAGACAAAATCTAGGACATTGGATATGAACATGCCCACAAGTCGTGGTGGTAACTGCGGTTTGCAGAGCTGCAGCCTCTGACTTTACAAAGCAGTTCTCATTATGGAACAGCGATATCAGAAACCCTCCAGGAACTCCCAGATTCATGTCTGGCTGCCCTAGAGAGAGCATTTTTGGCAAAGCCATGGAGGCCTGGAGAGGTGACGTGGCTTGCCTGTTGTGTGCTGAGGAGGCAGGTCCACCTGGTTGGAAGCCAGGGCTCCAGGGGTCCTGGAATCACTGACTCCGGGAATGATGGTCCTTCAGCCTGCGCCTCTGGCCACCAAGCTTAGCATGGGAACATCAGGAAGGAGAGCCTGGAGACTTTGCTTCTCCTTTATAATATAATATAAATTAAATGGCATATTTTAAACAAGAAAAAAAAATATTGAGAGCTTTTAGGAACCCATGAATCTGATCAGCTCCAGCCTATGTGAGCATAAATTAATATGGAGTGCATTTAGTTAGAGAAGTATGAAGTTTTAACTTTATAAAAATGACTTTGGGAGCAGGGAGGCATAGAACCTCATGTAGCCCAGGCTGGCCTTGAACTCACCTGACTTATAGTCCCAGTGCTGAAATTACCAGGCATATGTCACTATGCCCTGCTATGTAGTACTGGGAGGTCGAACCCAGGGCCTTCTTCTTAGGAGGAAAAAAACAAATTAAAGCTGTTGCATCCAAGGTAGCCGCTTTCTCAGCTATGTGCTTATGCCAACTGCAGTGCCCCTTCGCTCACCTCAGGCTTGGTAGTCCTCCTTGGAAAGTGCCTGAAGAGCTTTAAAAATGTCTTCCATAATGGCAATTCATCACAATTTAGGAATTCGTGGATAGGTGATCGTTCAGCATGTGTTTACTCCCTCTACTTATAACTCTGTGGCAGGTTTCTATCGATGTTGGGCTTGGCTGTATGACTTGTTTGGAATGGAAGGTGTGGAGGTACTTGTACACCAAGCCTCACCCATGGAAGCACCGGGTAATTCTGTTCTCAGGAACATCTACCTCCTGCCGTAGGGAAGAGTCTATATCCAACTAGTGACCTATCAGCATCTGACTCAGTTCACATATTGCCGTCATGTTACTAATGGTTTCCACAACCTGCAGACTTGCAGCCTGTAACAAGCCACCCAGCAGACATTCAGACTTAAGAATGAGACATAAATGCTTATAGCTGTATATCACTGGGATGTGTGGGCTTGTTACACAACAAGAACAGAGTAAGTTTTACTTATCAGTGCTTTGGAAAACTTATTAAATTATTAGAAGTGAAGCATATTTAGGCTGAAGTGTGCTATTTTGAATAAAACATGGTAAAATAATAATATTGAATTATGTGTATTCTTATATATGGATTCTTATAAACTTTAGAAATTTCACAAATGTTTAAAGGTAGATATAAGAATGTAGGATCAAAGTAATGATCTGAAGTAAGACAACATGTATCTATATGTGTAAATTTGTTTTTATATGTGTATATTTGTATATATTAATTTTAAAAAAAGACACATGGGATGGAGAGATGGCTCAGTGATTAAGAGCACTGATCTTGCAGAGGACTCAAGTTTAGTTGACAGTATCTACATGGCAGTTAATAACCACCTGAAACCCCAGTTCCAGAGGATCTGATTCCCTCTTCTGGTCTTTGAAGGCATTGCATGCATGGGTGCACTCATATACACGCAGTCAAAACACCCATGCACATAAAAATAAAATAAATCATTTTTTAAAAAACAGTATGCAAACTCAAAGGTGTGTTTTCTTATCTTTATTATTTCTAGTTTGGGTGTCTGTTGATTAGTTTCATCTTCTATTGGTTTCACACTGATTTTCATTTTAATAGACTCTGCCTGAAACTCCTGTCTTAAACTTCTCTGAATGGTCCTTTTCTTCCTTTCACAGTTAAAATGTCATCTACATGTGTGAACATTTTCTATCACAAATTTTCTGTAATGTAAGGTCCTTGCTATTGTGTTTGAAGACACTGCTCCTGTTTCCATTCGTGTCCAGAGATATCTTTTGAGGATGAACAGCATGTAGAGCCAGCCCAACTTAAAGGTTATGCACAGAGCAGGAAAACTTACAAAGAAGAGCACCAAAGGTTCCATAATCAAACTAATATCGAGAAACCTTCAGACTGAGAGGTAAGAATCTAAATCCCTCACTCTGGAAATGAAAAAAATGAAGTGTCTTCCTCAGCTCCTGTTGCAAGGTGGTATTCAGGCTTTGTGAAACCTTAAAAAAGGACTGCAGAATTCAAGAAGAGATGGGAAAGAAATGCTTCTCCCAGAGGCAGGACCTTGGATAAGAATTTGAGAGCAGGCAGCTTACTCTCATGGAAACTGAAGGAACCACTGGGAGGAGCAGCTAAGCGGGGTCCCCAGTCCTCCAGTGAAGTTTCTTAGAAATGCAGAGCTTCCAGCCCCAGCCCAGACCGCCCCAGTCAGAATGAGAATTTTAAGACTGTCAGGTGATTTACAGGCACATTCAAGTTTGTGAACAGTGCAATTGTCCTTCCCAGACCCCCAGAAGCTAGGGTGTCCCTCCTCCACCTGCATGCTCCCTTGAGACAGGCCTGCCCCCAGAAGCTTCATCTCAACAGATCAGGCAGAGAGCAAAGCTGGCACTGGGTCCTGCAATGGTGAATGCTGAAGCCATGTGGACAAGAACCAAAATGGCTAAAACATGCACTGTGTCCCAGCAGAGGCAGCAGAGCCCTGACACCACAGCCAGCAAATCCCAGGCTGAGGAATTGATCATTCTGAGCATTCCATACCCAGATTAGCTTTTTTACCAATTGGATTATCTTCACTTTTGGTAGAGGTTATGAAAGGTGCGAGATCAATGCTTTCTAATTCAAGTACAAGTTGATAAAGATAGGTTTCAAAGTTTCAGCATGCAGATCCTAAGTAAAAATTGAAGAATGGATTTCCTTATGCTTGGGCTGCCAACATCTTGATTAGAGGCTTTTCTGCTCTTCTTGACTCCTGGGTGCCACTCAAGGGACCATTTGTGGGCTGTGGATACCTTGGTTAGACTGTCCCATTTAGTTCCTTTGTCTGTAAATAACTTTTCTTCTGTTTGTCTCTACATATTCAGTTACTTACTTTGTGTGGCGCATAGGATTTATTTTCTTAGAGCAAAACTCATGTGTACAGAGTCCAGGTTTTAATTTCCCTAGATTAAGGTCCAATTTCATCTTGGGCCCCTGGCAACTGCTCAGGAGAATCTCTTGACCACACCATCAATCACTGTATTAAAGAACATTGATTGTTTTCCAAATGTGTCATGACATATAATTCTTTTCATATACTGCTGTTTTTTTATTTTATAGTGTTTTATTAAAGAATTTTGCATCTACATTGTTGAGAAATGGTTTGTCATCCTTTTTTTCTTCTTTCCTCCTCCTCCTCCTCATTCTTTTGTGGTTTTGTTTGAGCTAGGGTCTTTCCATGTATCCCTGGCTGGTCTGGAAATTGTTGTATACCACAAGCTTACCTCAAACATGCAGCAATCCTCCTGCCTCAGCTTCTCAAGTGCTGTGATTGCAGGCATATGTTACCATGTCCATTTTTTCTATTCTTTTTCTAGGCCTACCACTGTCTGTTTTTGGTCACAGGTTCAGGAAGTGTTCCATTCCCCTACATATTCTTCAAGCTGTAAGTGATTGTGTAGATTTGGTGTTCTTTAGCTGTCTAGCTGTCTAGAATTCTCCAATGAAGTTGCTGGAACCCCATAAAGTTTTTTTTTTTTTTAATGGATTTAATTTTAAAATAGTTAACTCATGAAGACTAAACTGCAAATATATTACCAGAGATGGGTAGGGAGCCAGAATATGAGGCTCCTGGAATGCACAGAGTTTGTGAGTATCCCCTCTCTCCAAGAGGGTAGCAGCAGCTTTGCCTTAAGCCATCCCACCCTTGAGGATCTGCAGTCTCTCCTCTTTTTTCTCCTTTTATTTTCGGTCTGAGTCTTCGTGTGGAACTGTTAAAGTCGAAGGAGCAATTGAGGCTGTCTGATGAGGGCTACCTCCTGATGTTAGCCAAAGGGTCTTAGCCCTCTTAATGGACCCCAACTGCCCGCACGAGTGTAGACAAGACCCCCTATCTATACATCTTTCTAATGCAAAAACCTGGTAATGCAATGACCAGTTAATTGCTCTTAGAGCTGGTTGCTGGATCTCTTAAATTTTTGAGCAGGCTTGCGCTGTGGACTATGTGGAATCACCTGAGGTTTGATCCCGGGCATGTTCCCCTAGGAATCAGTGTTTCACCCTCTTTCCTTTTCTATCTTGAACAACACCCCTAGAAAAACAAAATCCCCAAAGTTCTAAGGGATTTTCATACAAGCTTTGAATTCAACTTCTAAGATAACAAACTTCCTTAATCTGTTTGGTTATCTCGCCCCCAGGGCACTCAAGCTTAAGCTAAACCAGTTAGGTGAGAATTTAAATTAACTTGCCTCTGGACAAAAAGGCACTCCAGCTGCAAGTGCCCCATAACATAAACAAAAACAAAGAATTTAAAGCTGTGGGTGGCAGTGGAGCACTTAAAGAATTTAAGGCACTTGCGCCATAGACAACGGAAAAAAGATTTTAAATGCCATTTTTTCTGTAAATTTTTCTTGGGGAAGGGGCTCATCAGAGGACCACCCCACATGGAGGGCTTTCTCCTGTAGTACTCCGCGCCCCCACAGGCT